CCCCAAAACCCCAAAACCCCAAAACCCCAAAACCCCAAAACCCCAAAACCCCTTAATAATTAAGAAAGGTTGAAAGGTTACAATAGCATAGTATTTTCATGGAAAACTGACATTTGGCTTATTTCCTTCTTTTCTTCCTGCCTTTGCCCTTCTTTTTCTTCTTCTTTTTCGGGAAGGGATTTTTCATGAGGTAATTAGCAACATCTGGGTACTTCTTGACCTGAAACTCGTTCTCTTCAGGCATTTCAAAGGCTTTCTTTAGTGTATCGACCTTGAAAGAGATGTCTTCGGCTGCTAGCCTGTTCTTTAGGCTATCTATTTCAGCAATCTCTTCACCTTTGTCCTGCCGGATCGAGAGGTTGAATGAAGTCCCATCGGCAAATTCAAATGGAGCGGATTGGGGCCGGAACCCAGTTCGGGCATTCGTGCCTGGCAAATGAGTTGCGCTATGAGTGAATTTACCATTTCTATAACTTCTTGAGTTGTTGTAGACAGATAAAGAGACAATGTCTTTCTTTGATCCATCAGTGAACACGTTGTTGATCATTTCCATATTACTAGCCTTTGTTCCTATAAGCCCGCCATGAAATCTTCTGAGCATGTTTATCCTCCTCTTTCCAGCGTCAGTTGTTTTAGGCCTAATCCCACCGAGATCTTTTGGTGGGCCTTCTTCAGGAGGTGGGGCAAGAGGTTTCTTTTTCTTTGGGTCATTCATCTCAGCAATTTTCCTTGCTCCCTCAGGATCAACATTTTCAAATCAAAGTTTGTCACCTTCATCTCTGGAGCTATCAATTAATCTTGGAATGGGAGGTTTTCTCTTAGTCCTAATAGATGTATGTGCTCTGCTCTTTCGAATTCTGATATCTTGATGGTGTCTAGTCTTTGAGCCCATGTGTGGTCTTTTAACATAAACCTTGTCTTTAAATTCTTCATCTTCTTCTCCTTCAGCTTGATCTTCTTCTTGAGCGATTCTCTCCATTTCTTCAATCTCACTATCGCTCAGAAGAGATGAACCATCAGAATCATTCAGGTGGTTTCTCATATAGTTCGATTTCGGCTTCTGTTTGCGTACAAAAGCTCTGGCTGCGAAATTGGAGCCATACAGACGATTTTCTATTTTCCGCTGCATGTCTTCTTCATATCTGGCCTTAGCCAGGCCCCAGTCAGTCATGTTCTGCTTGAGTTCGTCTTGGACTCTCTTTTCAGCAACTTCTCTGTGCTGATTCTGCCTCCACATTTTTTGTATTTTTTGTTCGACAATGTTGTGGGAGGGGATGTAGCTCCCATAGTTTCCTTTTGACTCTACTCGTAGAAGGTTTTCCATTTCACTCTTCGCACCAGAAGTAAAGAATGACTGCATAGAAGGCCTAAAACCAGTCCCATACATTGTATCAGACCGAGTCTTAGCAGTCCGGATTCGAGTAGAAGACTTCGTGTTTGGTCTTGTAGTTGTACTTTCTTGGAGGGAAGAGTTTTGGTCATAAGGTAATCTTCTTTTATAGAATTCTATCCTTTCTCTTGCAGGAATGACCTCTTTATGTATAGTCCGCTCACCAGCTTGAAAGAGGCCCTTCTGAATCTCGGCGACATAGCTCTCATCTCTGAGTTTGGCCTTCATCTTTTCCTCTTTCTCTTGTTTCTTCCTCTCAGCTTCTGCAAAGACATCGGGATGCATGAATTCTTCTTCTTTCTTTTTCTGAGCAAGGCTGATTGCTCCAATTGCGTTCATTTTGTTCATAAACCACTTGTAGACTCTCATAAGGTACAATTTCTTTCTCTCGATGTCTTCTGTGGTGACTATGTCTCTCAGCAAAAGACGCAAGGAGTCGTGAATCCTGTTTTGGTATCTAAAATCTTTAATGGTGTGAGTAGTCTTAGTCTTCATCGCATCTTGTGCCTGAATTGTAAATTCCCTCAAAAATAACTTAAGCTTGTTAAATGTAGGATCTGAGTTAATCTTAGGGTCTTTGAGCGAGACTTCATCAAGCTCAAGGACGGAGTCTTTGACCGACCGAGAGTGGTGTCGCCTGGCGATTCTTGCCAGCTCTTCCTCAGATTCTTCGAAAACTCGGTTGAAGTTATCATTTTCCTCTCCTATTGGATCTTGAGGGTGATGAACCGAAGGCTCGATTCCTTCTATCATCTTTTTATTTTTAAATTATATATGAAATACCAAATTCAATTTAAATTATGCAAAACGGGGTTTTGGGGTTTTGGGGTTTTGGGGTTTTGGGG